GCCAGGTGCCTGAAGTCCGAATATGGCACTGTGGCATAGAAATTCTCAGCTTGTTTTGGGAGCCAGGGGTGATTTCTTGGTTTATTTTTCTCTTTTTAGAGGAAAAGAGCTGTGCTCACAGGGGTGAAAAAATTGCCATGGGAAGACACACTTTGCCCTCTTGTTGATACAAGAATTCGGAGGGTCGCGTGCCCTGTACAGCCAGGCTGGGTACAGGAGAACAGAGGATGGCGACATTGCGACAAATGCGACACTATTTTTTTAAAAAAGAGATCCAGAGGGATTTGGGGCACTACAGCCCACTAAATCTGACTTCTCTATGGGACAAAATGCCAGAGGTTGCAAGAAAGAGCAGTGTTAATGAACAGCTCTAACTCTGTGTGGGGGTGAAGTTCACAGACAGGACAGCCTGGGTATTTGGATTTCCAAAATATGTTAGAAAAGGTCTCTCACAAAACCTTTCTTAAAAAAATGATCAGTTGTGGACCAAAAGGAAAAGTCTCCTTATGTATTAAGAGGTTTAAGGTAAAACTCCCACAGCCCAGGAACTGTCAGCATTAGATATTGCCAGTGAAACTTTACAGGGACCTGCTCTACTCATAAATGCACTGCAAAGAAGACAAAGTGTGTTTGCAATACAAAATTATTCCGGATAATTAGAACAAAAGCTGCTTGTGAGGAGAAGCAGAACTTTCTCACAATACTGAGTGGCTGAGTGATAAAATGGCAAATGGAATTCAATGTTGATAAATGCAAAGTGATGTACTTGGGAAAACAAGCCTAACTATACATACACACCGACAGGTTCTCAATTTGCTACTGCCATTCAGTGAAGAGACCTTGGGGTCACAGCTGATAGTTTTCTGGAGGTGGTGGCTGAGCGCTCAGCGGTTGTTAAAAAACAAATAGTATGTTAGGAAGCAGGAAAGTAATAGAAAACGAAAAAGAAAACATCTCTATGCCCCTGCATAATACTGCAGTAAACCCAGGCATTAAATACTGCGCACAGTTCTGGCCTTCTCATCTTAAAAAGGATATGGTAAAGGTAGGAAAAAAAAAAAGGGTAAAGAAGGCAAAAGTGCTGTGAAGCCTGGAACAGCTCCTCAAACAGATTCAATAGCACAGGCTCCTTCAGTTTTGGAAAGAGATGATTAAAGGGAGATATGAGGGATGCACACAGAATCATGCATGGCATTTAGGAGGCAATATCTTTGTAATGTAAAAACTATGAGGCACTGAAAGATGCTATTAGGCATGAATTAAACCCAAAAAGAGGTCTGTTCTTGTGAAACAAATCATACCACTCCTTGCCATGGGATGTGTGGACACCAGAAGTCCACAAAGGTTCAAAAAAGCAATTAGAAATTTGCAGAAGAAAGGTCTATCAAAGACTATTATACACTATTAAACACAATGATGCTGATACAATCTCTGGCTAGACAACGACCAGATACAACCTGTGTCTGGGGAAGCCTCCGGGCTTTGCACAATCTTGACACCGCGTGTCCAGGGCAGACGGGCCACCAAACCCCAGCACGGGGATGCCCTGCAAAAATGCAGCACCTCTCCTTGCCTGCCAGGACACAAGCAAAGCAGCCCAGAAAGCTCCTTCCTTCGCCTTTTATCGCCATTAGGTTGACTGGCTGCCAAGCTGGAGCTCCAAGAGTTAGATCAGAAACCAGCACCGACAACCCATGATTGTGGACTTTGTTTTCGAAAGCTGCTTGTTCTTTAGTATTAAATTGGGCCTTACATTTCTAGTTGATATCCAATATTGAAGATTCATTGGACTCAAAGGAAACCTTAACAATTCTGTATATACAAGAAAGCTAAGTTATCACCGTACAATAAAACTAGCTACTCGCATTACGATTCCCCAAAGGCAGCCAGGATTCATTTTGGAAGTACTTTCCAAGCAAAGATTTGTGAGTTCAAAGTCCTTTTTTCCTCTGAACATAAAACGCTTCCTAAGCACATTCGCAAAATATTTAGCTGTAATTACCGCTCATTTAAGGGAAGGAGGGAGGGAGCAGTCATACTATTTACTTTCAAAGCAAGCTTCTTCGTGGAACAAACAACACAACCCACAACACTCTGCCAGAAACACAGGAAGAAACATACCCCCAAAGAAGCAACGAACAACTGGACAGTTTTTACCTTCTGCATGGGGCAGATTATGTTTGCTCCTTGCTTCTTTCCTTTCAGAGATCCGCCCTAAAACAACCTCCCACAGCAAGATATTTTGGATTCTTTTTTTCATTAAGAAAAACATGTGCTTACTATCTTTGGGAAGATTTATTTATTCTATAGGATTGCTCTCCTTTTTCAGCATCTCCTTGTCATCCTCTTTTCTCCTTTTAGATGGAAAAAGTAGATTTTTTTTACAAGCCTGCCTGACTCCAGGCCCCTTTCTGGAAGGTCCTTGGTAGGAAGGGCTTGGGGGCACCACGGATGCCGCGCGTGCTGCCCGTTTCCTCAGCACCATGTACGTGATCCGCACCAGGAATCAGTGCCGTGTCCCATCCCTGCCAGAGCAGCAGGACTTCTCGGCGAGGACTTCACGCTGCTTTTATGCCATCCCTTGCAAGAGCGGGAACAGCATCTTGGCAGAAAGCCAGACTGCTGTGGGCAGGCAAAGCCTGTCCAGGATAGAGTTTGCTGGTGCTACAGTAACCTGGCTAATGTGGCTTTTAACCACTTTGCAGGATGTAGTTGCTCCTGCTCTGCACTTGGAACCAGGTGACTGTGGTATCCTTCACCTCAGGCTAGCAGCCCTGTAACACTGGATTTTCTGTTTCTGCTGGAATCCCTCTGTTTTCCCCTAAAACATCAGCCAAGTTTCACTATATCTGGCAGATATGATTCCAGCAGGAATAGCCCTGCTCAGTCTGCTCAGACATGGGTTCAATGCTAGCTACTTCTCATAGCTGCTGTATAAATGTGACCTCGGGCTTCCCTATCCTCCAGCCACTTGCAAAATCAGGTGCCTGATTTCTGAGCCAGTTTAGGCACTTCAGAAAAAATTTACCTATGCTGAGTGTGCAAAATCCTGGGTTTGCCCTCCAGCCCCATCGCTGTGAAACATGATGGAGAAGAAAAACAAGCCCGCGAGGAGTCAGCAACAAGAAGGAGCTAAACTGTTATCCCAGAGCGTTTCCTTTGGATTCCTCCTCCTTTCCCTCAAAGGAGGAGGTTTCATTCAGTCTTTAGACAGCTGAGAACTCAGTTAGAGAGAAATACACGCGAAGTGGCTATACTGTCTCCCTTCAAAGGAGCCACTCCAGATTTTAACCTGTCGGGAGAACCGAATTGGTGTGCGAGTGCAGTTGGAGGAGGCTGACTTGCCTTCAGCGGGGACCCGGACTCCCCACAAGAGAACTAATTGGCTAAACGAAGCTCTCGACTCGCCGCCGCGGCCTGGCACTCACAGCAGGGAGCTCCACAAAGACGGGAAAAAATAGGGCTTTTAGAGCAGCGCTTTTCTTTGCTAAAACATGGGCGGAAGGTGTCCAACGTTTGTTAATAGCAATGATTTTGTGACAGCTGAAGCAAAGCCTGCTTAAAGCCAGACCAAGTTTACAGATGTGTTGCTGATTATTTTGAATAATTAAATGGTGTAAAACCCAGCTGTGATGAATAGCACTGGGGTCACAATCCATAAATAATTGAGAAGAGTGAGTCGCATTTGATCATCCTGATCAAATTCTGCTCTCTGGAGAATAAATGTTTGTCCTGAATACCATCAACATTGTTAAATGCCTCAATATTCCTGCTCAGCCATCCAGCCAGCAGTCAATTGAACTAAATCACTTTAACACCTTACACATTTGCCTTCCTCATGAATACAAAATGTTTCCAACTTACACAATGGTTTTTAGGCGTCGGACAAAGCAGCTACTCTTTATAGACAGTAACCAAATAGCAACAATAAATGTTTTAAATGGGCCCATTAAAAACAATTCCTGCACAAAGACTTGCCTTTACTGCAGCAAGCACAGAAGCTGTAGATATCTGGTCACCTATTTGCTTTCATTGCCTGTTGGTAAGCAGAGCTGTCCCTGAGATACACATGCATAACACAAACTAGACTGCCTGAAAGAAATGCCTAAAACCTAACCAAGAAGTGCTGGCCTGTGGTTTTTAGGGCCTGACTTCAGTCCTTCCTCATATTGTATAATGTTTATTTGTTGTGCATGGACAATATGGGGTTGGTAACTCAAGAGGTTGGAAAAGGCCTCCCTCCAATGGTTTTGCCTCCGATTTATAGAGGCAGAGGTCAGAGTCTATCCTAAATAGGTAGTAAGTCACAAACTTTAAAACAGTCACATTAAGTAAACACTACTAGTCAAGCCCTGAAGCCTTTCTCCTTGGCTTTACAACACAACAAGCAATGACTTTGAGAGCAATCTTTTCTGATTGAGCAGAGGATGAACAAGGACTTCAGGAACAGATCCTTCAGGAATAGGGGATGCAGTCACAGCTTGGAGGGAGGTTCATAAACAGCCAAAATCTATTGCTCTCCCTCATAGGGAGTGCTATTTTGCTCCTTTTGGGTTACTCAAGGGGTAAGGGACTATTCATTAGGACTAAAGAAAGCAAATTCTGGGCCCCAAAGAGTAAAATAAGCTTCAGGTTATACATAACAAAAGCACAAAGTTAAGAACAGCTCCTTGTTTCATCAGATCTTTCCTTGGGATTGCAGGCAACTTCTCCAATTGAATAAAACCCTGCTAAGCACCTCTTGGAAGCACTAACTGCTTCTAATAGAAGGCTACCATGGACCTTTGCTCTGTAATGGTTAGAAACTACCTACAAACATCTAATCTCAGATTACTTATATCTAATATTACATTGGTATTTTCATTTTACTTTTGATACATTTGAGCATCACACTTACTTCTCTCGTAACAACATCACAGAGCTGTCACACAGCCCCTTACTATCAATAAGCAATTAACTTTAGGAAAACACCATTCTACCAGTGGATCATTAAATCATACCTCAAAGTCTTCTGAGAACCCATGCTGGTTATTGGAATAGAGCTCGCTGATGTGTTTAACGAACTGCTTGACTGGAATTGCTTCCATATCATCTGTAGAAAGAGAAATCCAGAGTTGTTATTTGCCTCGGAAATAAAATTTCAAGTCCCAAGCTCTTATCTGCAAACTCTGGAGAGAAAACGTTTGCTCAGTATCACCTAGAGCTGAGTTCCCAGGGGCAAGGCTCATTCGACATGCAGTAATAAAAAACCTGGATGAATCCGGCCAATATTGAGGCAAACCCTGCACATTTTCCTCTAATCTTAAACCCTGCAAACACAGATGCCAGGTATCTGCTCCCTGCGATGGCCAAGAGAAGTTCAAGGATCACCTAGTTCATAGGCAGTTTGATGATCACTTTGGAGGGAACTAACTGGAGGGGGCTTCTCTCCTTACCCGTCATGTAAGGAAACACAAAGGACAGAAAATGAAGACACAGCTGACAATTGCCCCCATTAAGTTTTCACCAGACTGAGCAGAGACACAGGCTTCTCTCCTGGAGCAGACAAATTACTGACTTTTTCCTTTTTATATAACAATGCAGAATCCGAAAGAACTTATCATGAAACCGTCGCTGCACAAAAGAACAGGCAACACAACACCCACACTAATTTGAGTTTTCTCTCCTGCCAGACACCATTCATAGCACTGAACATGCATTCCACTGGACCATTTGTTCTTGCTCAGCATAGTGCAAATATTACTCAATATACCAATAAATCATCCACAAATATTTTCCAGAGAGAAAGAAATCACAAACTTGAATTGAAGACAACCAAGACGGTTTCAAGCACCTGGAACTCTTGGTGGTTTCTCATAAAAGTGGGCTGTAGGAATATTGTCTTATTTCTCCCCGTTTCAGACAAAAAAGAAGTCTAGACATTGTTATAACCACCACTGCAGTTGGTGAAAACATCATCCTTGCCAAGATTAATTAGTTGATATTTTCAGTCTGGCATTTAGAAAATGTAAATTGCTGTACAACTGTGATTACTTTCAGCACGTGAAATAATCTATTGCCCGATGGCTACTATTGTCTGATAGCATGATTTTATGGCAATGTTCTGGTATTTATGTATCCCATTTAATATTCTTCTGGAGATCGCATCCACTTTATGTTTACTCCCAGTAATTCAGTGGTGTATTTTTGCTCCCATTTAGCAGCCATATGGCTTGGTGCTACAGCTGCATTATAATCTGGATTCTTTTCCTTTTAAATATCTACATTATGATAGAAAAAATCCAAATATTTCTACAGATACTTAGCAAAATTTAACGATAAATAAATAGATGTGACATTTACTGTATTCAGAGTGAAAGATCTTTGGCAGCTAAAACCTCTAAGCTGTCACATATGCTTTTCTTAGCAAAGGGTATGAAGATCTGTATGTGTAAATGAGGTTCTACTTTGGCAAGAATTTTATAGATCCAGCCCTGACAATCTGATTTTGCTCCAGCTGATGGCTGTTAATATTGACCATGTCATTACTTCTCTACTCTTATTTTATTAGGTAACGCTCCAGGGTGGCTTTTTGCATCTAGTGACATTTTCAGATTTCAATCAGCTTCCTTTTATTTTATTTACAAGAAGTAACTGGCGAAGATAGGCTTGCAATCTGACCACCTCCCAATATAGTAATGCTACTTTAATTAGCCACATGCTCATTCCTGAATAATAAAGAACTCCAAACATTCGACAAGTGTATGCTCATTTTAGCAAAAAGCTTCAGCATGCAGAAATGCTGGCATACTACAATATTTAAGTGCTAACATTTATTCTATGTAATATTGAGTACATCGCCATCTCATAACAATACACATATTAATATTTTTGCAGCCAAAACACTCAAATGTAATGATCTACAGAACAGCAGTCCATACCAAGAGACTGTAAAACAATCTTTCCTCTCATGAAAAGTAACCCACATATCCTTAATTTCCTTGAAAACTGCTTGTGCTGCCATAGCAATTTCACACACAGTCACAAGAGAAGTTTCCTAGCTCTTATTTGCCTTTTTTTTTTTTTTAAACTTCCTTGAGTAGAGTCTATCTCAGCTGAGACTAACTGAGATCAGGCACTCGCTGCAGCAGACCAGAGTGCCTTTTGCAGAAGGCAGAATTTAATTTTAATTGTGATCTGCGAGCCAAGAAATACATTAAAGATAACGTACTCTCCAGCCCATTGAGTTCCCACCAATTTCAAGGATGGGTCTGCACCAGAGATCCACGGCAGAATATGGTTAGTTTCCTTTCATCACCATCGCTGCTGGTGGCAGTAGCTCTCTACCTTTACAGCTACTGCTACAGCTCTTCTCTACTGTTCACCCTCCTTTATTTTCTCTTTTCTCTTTTTCCTCCTCTGCCTTTTCTCTTCTACAGCCACTTTCAATTCCCTTCAGAAGCCTTAGCCTTACGCAGTTTCTTATCCTGTTTGATAACAGAGCAACAACTAAACAGGGAATGAATTAAATAGTAAATAATGTGGACATGCGAGCTCACTGGGAGGAAGGCACTTGTGGTGCTGAAGCTGCCTATCAACTCAGGAAAACCTCGCTGCAGCAAATATAATTATTTGGTCTTTGGAAGAAAAACAGCAGGATCACAGAAGTTAGGAGCTGAATCAGTGCTCCTGCTTTTCAAACTTTCAATTGCTGGGATAATGTGGCCAGGGTGAGATGGGGCAGGGGCTGTGCGGAGGCCGGGGTGGCACCGCTCGAGGGACCCACGCGGTTGGGGACAGGCAACCTGCAGCTGGAGACGCTCCTGCTTCCCGGCTCACCCTTCTGCCCCTCTCCGGACAGTCGCCGGGAAAAGCGGCACAGAAAGCACAGGGTATTGCACTAGCCAAGGCAGGGAAACACATCCAGGTTATTTGAGCCTGTATTTTTCTAGCTCTGACGGCCAGCCCCAAACTCCCAAGCAGGCCCACAAAATACTTTAGTTGGGCTGTATGTGTGTTTAGCTTGTTGAATTTCAGCTAAAATATCTACCATCATACTCAGCACTCTCAGCTGATACTGGCTCTGATGGTACCTGAAGATACCCTCGACCTTCCTTAAGAAAACCAACAGATGTAGCTATGTGCTCAGAAAAGGCCTTTCCTTGCAGAGCCCGCAGTCCAAAGGCTTTGGTTAAGCCTCTCTTCCAGCTGAAGACAAACGGACATCGATGACAATAATTCTTTTAGTCGATTGAAGAGATTAATGGAATCCTATAATGGCTAATTAGGAGCTCTCTCAGTTGTTCAGTGCACATTCCCTTCTGCACCATACACTTTTTCCCATCCAGAAACCAGAGGGACATTTGGAATTGTCAGGATGATGCTTACATATTGTGAGACCTACTCATTATTCAAAGGGAACAGGGAAATGTTTTAATAACATACCTTCACCTCTAATACTGCAGAAATAATTACAGTTCTGACTAGTTTGGCTCAGCCATCTGTTATGCAAGTGTAAATAAACTGATTCTGGATTTATGTTACTATGAAACACAAACTGAACCTGGCACCATACTTACGTACTAACCCTTTGGGTTATGGAGAGAAAGAAGTAACCTGAGGTGGATGGGGTGAAAATCTCCAGGGCACCAGTGAGGTGAAGATCAGAGGCTACTGAAGCTGGTAAATGGGAATATGATTCTTTACTATGCCAGACTTTTGAAATTTAGGTTCCCTTTGCATCTTCCCTGGCTAGCCCCAGAGGAGGGGCTGAGAGGAGTAACAAAAGCACAGTACTGAAGGGGAGCATAATGCCAGCCACTTCCTGCCACAAAAGCAAGACAGCAAGAAAAATGTCACATAAACCTTCACTTGCACCTAAATTCCTGCAAAATGTCAATAGATGAAGACTGCAGAATGTGTAATGCATTCTTTCAGAAAGCAGCTAACCTTCAAAACAAGTCCAAAGTATATAGGAACAATAAAGTTAGTACAGGGCTACATTTAAAGTTCGGATAATTAGTAATCCTACCAGGGAGGATATCCCCATATTTCCTGCTTAATAAGCTGCCTCTGTAATGTTAAAGCCATCGGGTCAATTTCAAGAGAAAAATGGGATATCATATCAGAGGTGACGCTTCCATATAATAAGATCTCAGATTCAATTGGATTCATTTATAGCCAGAGAGCTCGCTGGATGGTTTAGTGGTATTGGATTGGAGTAGAAGGATTTGGGTCAGGAATTAATCCAGAAGGTCAGAAAACGATGCGCTGCTTCACACTACCTTTGTCCAGTTTGACGTCTGGGTGTTTCTGAAGACCAGACGTTTGACAGCCACAAAGAAGCATTGCTTAGAAAAATCACCTTTGCTTTTCATTCTGTTTACGAATGTTTCCCATTCTCAGTAAGTATCTTACTAACCTACTAAAGGCTGATGTCCTCTGTGTCTTACGCTTTGCTTTTAATGTGAAAGCCTATTCTGTTGCTTGTGACTGCAGCCCCTCAGCTGGAGAGTGCTGGGACTCATGTGCCGTGGATGTCCCGTGCTCGGACAGCAGCCACCTGCTCCCTGCTCCACTCAGCAAGCTTGGCTGAGGAATCTAGAACACGACTAGCTGATTTCTGGGAAGGGGAGAGAGGGATTAGCTGCCAGTCGGACAGATGGGTTGATCCCACTCATTGCCATGAGAAAGGGTGTAATGATGGGCGAGTCTGCCCTTTCCGATGGCAGGACAAACCTATACTGGCTTATCCCAATCATGAAACCACCACTGGCAACACAAATCCTGGAGGGCCCTCGACAGCACGTCCCCACAGGTCTCACCTTCAGCAAAAGAGGCTTCCTGAGGCTAGAAAGAAATATCCTCCAGCAGGTTCCTTGTGGGGGTGGATTTAACCTCCCAACTTGCAGAAAAATAAAGCACCTGACTTCATAATCCACTCCGGGAACCGCTGTCCTACCTCCACAGCATTCAGGTGCCTTCTGTTCCTAGCAGCATGCTTTTCTGTTTGGTTCCTTTTTTATCATCCCTAGGTTTTATTTTCCCCATTCAGTTTGGTTCATGGATATTTGGTTTTAAAAAGCGGATCCCTAGGTTTTATTTTCCCCATTC